TAATGTTTGCAAAATAATTTTGAAAAACTTTTATCAATGTACAACACCTTAGTTCATACAATCAAATTCATATAATCAAAATTATTGATAGCTTACACTTTTGGGTCAACTAATCAACCTACGATTAGACGGTGTTGTCGTATATCTTGTAGTCAACAGCAAAATAGTTTCAATTTTATTCAAATCCCTTTATAAAATTAACATGTAATTTCAAATAAATACATAATAAGAAAATAATCATACTTATGTAATAAAATTCATTTTTTTATAACTTAATAATAAAGTAATTATGAAAGAAAATTTGGGAGATAACTTTTAAATGTGTATTTTCTTTTCTCTCTTTTGTATGTGAATTTGTTTTTATTGTTTTTCTCGTTTGTATTTCTTTTCTTTTTAAATTGATAAAATTCATTAAATTAGTATAAATTCATAAAATCTACATTGCGTTATATTTAAAAAAGTAATTTGAAATCTCAATTAAATAATCTCTTAAAAATATAATAGAATTCGTGATAAATTGCGTCAACAAATTTGTAAATAATTTAAAAAAATAAGCATTCGCAATTCGTGGTTTTTCTTTGCATAATTACATCATAATAAGAAAGGATTTACACCTATCATGATAAAAAATGTATAAATTTTTCTTTATTAATCCTTTGATGGTTTTGTATTTATTAATTATAGTCATGTGTAGAATTTGGAAAACGTAAAAAAAATAAAATTAATTTAACTACAAAGTGAAAAACTTGACAACACATGATTTTAAAATCTTTTTGCCTACTTTGAAAGCTTTTACCACACACTATTGTATATAAATCTTTAAACAAATCTATTTTACAAAAATTGAGACTTTATTTTTTTACAAAAAAAAAAGTTTAAAAAATGTGAAATATTTTTTGAAACTTTACCCAGAAGAAATGTAATAAATAGTAACAACTTTTTCTTTTACATTTATATAATATTTTTCCCTTTTTCTCTCACAAAATATCTCTTGGAAATAAAATATATAGATCTTGTTCATAGGATAACAAAACAAAGTGTGCTAAGATTATATTAGTCTATGTTGTCCTATCTCCATTTATAAACAACATCTATTAAGTCCTATATTGATTAAAAAATAAAATGAATGCAATGCTCCATATATTATTATAAAATAAAAATTTCACAAAAGTAAAATTCATATTTTCTCGTTTACATATATATAAGTTATAGTATGCATAATTGTTAAACATTAAAAAACTTACAGTATTCAATCAAGATTACAAAGTTTTTGTGTAGTGTAATAATCTTTTAAGATTTTAAAAGCCTAAAAAAAGAAATTTTATATTCAAAATTATACAAATTTTAACGAATTATTTTATTAATTTAATTTTTATGAATTTGGTATGACTTTATATTTACATGTACAAAATCCATTTCCATAAAACAATATTACTCAAATATGTGAAACTTTTTTAGTTCATTTATACTTTTTCTCAATCACAGTATATTTCTCTTTCAATTATTTCAAACTTTCTTTTACATCCTTTCTATTATTATTATTACGTACTATTTTTCGATAAATGATTTCTTTTATTTGCCTTTTATATGCGAAGGTGTTTTTTCTTTACACTGCCATAATATGTTTTCTCCGAGTATCAATTTGTTTACAGTTAAAGTGTTAAAAATACAATGATTAAAAATGTTATGAAAAATAATAAACAAAAAGGAAAAAAATTAATAAAGAGATGTCTCTCAATTTTTTTATTTAAAAAGTAAAAAGTTACCAATAATATATTATGATATTAATAAATTCTTAGATATTTGAGAAACAAATGTTCAAAGTTCATAATTTTTTTTATTAGTAATTACATCACACGTAAACAACATAGGTAATGATAAAATATATATTAATTTTGGAATGTGAATGAGATATGAAATAAATAATTACTTTAACCAGGAAATGCAAATCTTGTCAAAGATTTTCTAATCTTTACTTTGCATGTTTTTATCACAATATTGGTCATAATAGATAAATAATACTGTTTTAAAAATTTTGACACTATTTAAAAAAAAAAAAAAACTAGTTTTAGAAAATAATATTTGTTGAGAATTTAGCAAGAACAATAAAGTGATTAATTTTCATGGGATAAAAGAAAGTTATTTATTTTCCATTTATGTCTTTTATTTTTATTCATACAAAATCTATGAGAAAAATATAGATTTTGTTTATAGGTTAAAAAAATATGAGTCAAAAGTGCATAAATAATACATAACAAGTCCTACAATGTTAGAAGATGCAAGAAAGACTCAAAATGCTATTATAAAAAAAAATAAAAAATTATTTGTACATGTTAAACTCGTACCTTTCTCAGCCGTTTGGTTAAGATAAAGTGTAAGGGGAAGATTCTAAATTGCAGTTTGCTGCGAAAGTTCCTGAAGTATTTCATATATGTTTCGCACTTTTGCACAGGTTGACATATCCTATAAATAGTTTTAATAATGTTATAACTTGTTATTTGTATGTACTGTTATAACTTGTTATTTGTATATTTTGAATATATGAAATTATATATTTTTTTATAATTAGTAAGTTAAAAATATAATTTGTTTTTCATATAAATTAATTATTTAACTTTTTTTAATGCAATATTATTTTCATGAAAAAAATGGAATATTATTTTCATGAAAAATAATAATTTGTCAATATATAAAAGTATTTTAAACACTTAAATGACACAACAAACTTGTTAATTGAGGAGTTAAATCTCTAATCAACAATCAACATTCAAAATATTTATTATTCATAAGAATTTGATACTAAAACAAAAATGCTTTGATATGTTAGTTGATAAATTGACAAAAAAAATAAAAATTTAAAATGCTAACAGGAAACACAAATTTCTATTAAATAAATCGGTTACTACTGATCTCCAGTAGTAATATACTACTCTTTAAAAAGAATAGCATAAATCTTCAAGGGTTTAATAGAGATTCTAGTCCTGGAAACTATATGCCCCAAATAACTTATTTCAATCCTCTTAAAACTACATTTTTTTTCAAATTCATAAAAAAATAAAACATTGTGTTTAATGGGTAGAAATTGCTTCAAATGTTATTCATTTCATGATTTTTATAGACCAATATACAACAAAAAAATGCTAGAACATATTTTTTAAAATAGATTTCATCATCGTACATTGGAATATAGTGGACACATTTGTCACCCAAAAAAACTTGACAAGGAAGTCATAATGAATTTGAAATTTTAATGTAGGGAATATCTAACTTTCAAATAAATCTTTGTCTTGAATAATGGTAGTGGGTAACGTTTAATCCATTCTTTTGCAAGTGGTGTACCCATATGGTATGAACATGTCAACAAATTTCTCCAACATCCTTCTCAATTATTATTCTACTTTTGTAGAAATTGGCCAGTGACCTCTACTATCTCTTTCTCCATTATCCATAACATCCACCTAACTATCATTTTAGCCATTTACGCAATGATTTGGCTTAAGCTGGGATCTCTTGTATCTTCACAATTTCACAATTTGATCTTGATGCAGAAATGTCGAAGTTAAAAAGTCTTCTAATTAATCTTTATCTCTCTTAGACCCGCTAGACATGCTAAACCCAAAATCACATCTATACTTCTTAAATTGAATAGAAAAGTTTTGTTGATAATCATTGTTTTAAAAATTAGATGGGTTAATGGATTGAATTAGAAATTGGATTAAAAATCAATTTGTTATTTTTAAATAATCAAATTTTAATTAAACGGAAACAAAATTAGTAAAACCAGAAAAATCAATAAAATTTTAAAATCGAATCAATTTTAATAAATAAAAAATTATGATCAAATTTTTTTAATATAATTTTTTTGTAAAAAATATTATTTTTATCTCATTATTGTTTAATAATTTTGATTAAATTAAATTCAATATCGAATTTAATATGAAATATATCATTTAATATTTAAGAGATGAAAATCATATTAAATTAAAAAGTTTGAGATTTAGCTTCATAAATAATTTATTAATGTTTTCATGTTATCTTTAAGTTTCTCGAGAAAAAAATATTTAATTATAAAAATATTCAACCTAATATATTTAAAAGGTGAATGAAATCAACTTAATAGTCAAATTATCCTATATAATTAGAGTGTTTTATCTCTTATAATTAAAAAAAATTATTCATATATACTTACTAAGTCTAACTTTGTAGGAGTTAGATATAGGTAATTTATAGATACACACTTTCCCTCAAATCATCAACATATCTTTTGAGAAGAAAAAAAAATACTAAAAAGTTGAAATTGAATCAATATTTAAAATTATAAAGTTGATCAAGAAGAATTTTAATGAATAAAATTATTATTTTAATTTAGATTTATATATATATATATATATATGTTTTTTTAGATATAAGTCAAATATAACTCTGTTATTGTATCATTGACTATTTTTAAAATAGTTAGAGCAATTTCTATTTCCGCTATAATTTCTGTTTTTTTGCCTGTACAGTAAAAGTTTTATTACCTTTATATAAAAATTTGTATACAGTCTCATTGAAATAATGTTTTTCCTGTTCATTCATTTTATCTTCTACTTCCTAACTCTTATTTTATTATGTAAAATTATTATTTAAAATATTTTAATTTGAAAAACACTGAAATAAAATAATTGGCATTTATGTTTCTTACGATGAAAAATATATAACTATTTTCATAAAGATTCAAATTTATTTTCTATTAATATTTCGTGGGTCAGAAATTCACATAATCTCGGAATTGAGCCTTATAAACTTGAAAAATATAAATATAATTAAGAGAACATATTGAAAAAACTTAATAGAGATTAAGCTCTTACAAAAATCAATAAGTATTTTAGATTCCTATTTCATTTTAGAATTTTATTATTCCTACTATGATGACTAATAAATTATCCTCTCTTTTCTTGTGTGTAAAACAATCAAATATGAAATGTTGGAACTTGAGAGTGAAAAGCATTAGTGACCTGCTAAAATAGTCGATGCCCTAGACCTCTGTAGGGGTCGAATTCTCTTTTCTCCTTCAAATAAGTAAAGCATCTCTCAACCTCAGATTTCACTTGCAAATAAAACTCTTGACATTCCTCCTTGTGCTTCAGTTCTTGTTCCCTTCCTGTCAAACAATATCTCATTAAGGGAAAAATGATATCTACCACCACATTTTATGTACATTCCGAGCTTTAGTATGTTTATTATTGGCCATACCTTCTGTTTCCAGTGGTTTTCCAAAATAATAGTAGAACCGACCTGGAACTTTAGGCAAAATCAAAGGCAAATGCACTTGTTGATTTGTCACCTCACCACTCGAAACCCTCCTATATTTCCAATATAATATACATATATAGATGATAAAGGACAATTAAAATGTATATTATATTTCATAATTTGGCATGAATAAAAAAAAAAAAACTAAGATACCTCAACTGTGGAGCCTCATCTGTGAGGCTTTCTATTTCAGACCTAAAGTAAGGAATCTTCACCAAGTCATTATAATAAAAAACTACCTGAAAAAACCAATGTGATATGATATGTTATGGAAATCGAGATACATATCATGGGAAAATGACTCAAAGATGGACGTATTCTGAGATTAAGAGAATTTTAGAGTCGTAACTAACCTCTATAACATCTATAAAAAAATATATGGAAAACCACAATTTATAAATATTTTATTGGGACAATTCTAAGGTTCTAACATGCACTGACTTAATTAAAAATTAAAAAAAATATATTAATATAACTATAGTAAAAATTTAATAACAAATATTTAAATAAAAATAATTTTAAATTTTATATTATATTAATAAAATTAATTTTTATTTGAGATATAATAATTTAATATATAATTCTATTCAATTCTAAAATAATAATTAAAAAACTATTTCTTAATAATTTAATTATCTAGTATTTAATAAATGGTTATTATAATATTTACAACATGAATACAACATGAATGCAACTTGCGGAATGTTTAAGATCAGAATACAAGACGAATGATGAAAATTAACCCCCTTTTGCACAAACTGAATAACAATTGAGAATCACTTTTTGAAGTGACTTTTTTTGAAATATCTAACTTTAATTAGTGTAATAAAATGTAAAATAACCCACAACGCTTTCACGGTAAAACATTGGCTAATTTGCAACCAAATTCGTGAGAAAGCAACCATTTTAATCTCTAACAATTTCATCTTGCGGGAATGCAAAGACATCCCGAATTACTCAGCCCTAACACATGCAAATACATAAGCGGAAAGGGAGGGAGAGTTTATTTATTTATTATTTAATATAATATCAATGTCAAAATGAATTTCAGTCATTTGCTATCGCTACGTAAATACCTTGAGTTGACTATGTAACAACCACCTGCAAAATGAATGGCAGTGGGAGAATAAAATTCGTTTGATCATAAAATAAAAAGTTGAATGGCAGAAAAAATATGCATTTCATTCACAGCGAACCAACGTTAGACCCTAAAGTTCATAGACAAAAGTTTCTAAGATTTCAGTTTAATAGAATTATGCTTTCAACAATAACTTCATAAACGAAATGATAGATTTAGAAAAAAAAAAAAATACTAGAACTTACTTGACCAACGTCATCTTCTCCAACTACACCATAAGGTACAATTTTGGCTCCAAATCTTGCTGCCATCCTGACAAACTCGGGTTGTTCAGGCCAGAATAATTTGTAGTCTTCACCCTGGTATATTCTTGTGTGCATTAGAGGGAAACCCTGTGTATATACTCAAATCTGACCCAAAAAATTGATTATTTCTTCCTATATTTAGAATTCAATCTGAGCTTATTTCTTGAGTCTAGTTGTAATCATATATATGGATTAAGCATGACAACCCTTTTTTACATTTGTAGTAAAATGAGCAAATCGTGACTCAATGTAAAAGATGAAGTCACTTGTAATAGAAAGAGTTTACCTTCCTATGAAAAGCCTCGCGTATCCCTCCCGGGTATAAGAGGACATACTTGGAAGAAAAAAGCTTGAAGAGGTTAGTCGGTTCTACAGGGACAGCACCCATAATTCTGAGATTGTCAAAATAAGATATATCTGGCAATTTTCCTTTTTTAGATCTCATAAAAAACAAGGGATGTGCTAACGCTCTAACGATGATATTTCTTTCAGAAAAAATACTACACCAAAGGGGAATTGCGTCTAATCCCAGCAGCATGTGGTCGCCAACAAACAAAACAGGCCCCTCTGAAGGAATTCCTGCAAGGCCTTTCACAACCGTCCCATCCTCCAAAGTTGAGAGCATCACAATAGGTATTGTAAAACTTAAATTAGATATTTTAGTATTCTTAGTATTAATGATTTTAATTACGAGTGGTATAACCAATGAGTTGTAAACCTATTTAATAGATATCATAATTTACTTTTAACATTTGAAGAGACAAAAGATTTCATGCTCATGTACAAGCATACTGATAGTTTAGAGGTGATAGGATATTTTGTTTCAAACTTTGCTGAAAACATTGATATCAGAAAATCTACATTTAGTTACATTTTTATGCTAGTTTGTGGAGTTGTATCTTGGAGCAACAAAAAACAAACCTTGACTGCTACTTACATTATGGAGGATGAATTCGTTTATTGATTTGAGGCTATTTCACATAGTGTACGGTTGAAAAGTTTTATATTTGGGCTTAGAGTTGTAGACTCAATTGTTAAGCCAATGAAGTTATACTGTGACAACTCTATCATTGATATCAGAAAATCTACATTTGGTTACATTTTTATGCTAGCTTGTGGAGTTGTATCTTGGAGCAACAAAAAACAAACCTTGACTGCTACTTACATTATGGGGGATGCGTTCGTTTATTGATTTGAGACTATTTCACATAGTGTATGGTTGAAAAGTTTTATATTTGGGCTTAGAGTTGTAGACTCAATTATTAAGCCAGTGAAGTTATACTGTGACAACTCTATTGTGCTATTTATGATTAATAATAATATGAATGAAAGTCCAACTAAGCACATCAACATCAAATACATGATTAATAATAATATGAATGAAAGTCCAACTAAGCACATCAACATCAAATATCTAGCCATAAGAGAATGTGTTAAGGAAAAGAAAATGATCATTGAACACATTAGCACTAAGTTGATAATTGTTGATCCATTGACTAAAGGCATGCCATTAAAGAATTTTAAGGATAATAACAAAAATGGAACTTAACTCCATAATGTGACAATTTGTAGTTTTTTAAAACTAATTCAAGTTGATGATTTTTCATTTATTTGTGCATTTATTTATTATTTTTTAGAAATATGATTAGTTTGACCTAGAATAAATATAAGGTTTATTCATTAATGTTATTAGCATTTTATGAAAAACTTAATATATTATGATACATGGTAGATAATACTCTTTATTAGAGCATTTATTTATAATGGAATAAATGAACAAAATGGGAGAATGTTGCATGTTATGCATATTCCTAGTGGTTATCCCATGATCTAGCGGTTATCCTGCAATTTTTGCAAAGTGCTCCATTTTTCATAAGCCCATTATTTGACATTTTTATGGATTTATTGGTTACGATTTAGAACTTTATGATGGTCAGTATTCTATAAATACAACATATGTTTCAAGGTCATCAAAATTTGCTCTTTTCTTGAGTATATATCATTTGTGTTAGAGGGTTAAGGTTTCAAAATTTGAAAAGTGTTTTAAAGAAGCTTTATTTCGAAATTATGGTTGAAGGTTAGTAAATATTTTTATATTTCTACTATATTATATTTTTCACAATTAGCCAGACAAAAATATCAATAACTATTGAGACAAAGCTTTATACTATTGATCCTTCTGATAGATATAAAACTGTTTTTTGCATAGTTCAATACCAATGAAGAGTAATGTCTTTTGGACTTAAAGTAGCTCATTCACTGTTACAGAAAGTCATAACAAAAAATTTTGAGCCCATATTAGACAGAATTATCATTTACATAAATAATATTCTATTATTCTCTCAAGACATAGACTCTCATAACAAATTATTTAGTCAATTCTTTGAAATATCCCATCAACACGGGATCATATTCTCTTGGAAGAAAATTCACTTGAACCAAAGAGAAATTAATTTCTTGGGAATGCATTTCTCTCTCTCAAGGCACATATCAACTTTGAAGTGTTGATCATCAGAATTTGAGATAAATCTGCATAATTGGGAATTTCTGTTTATGAATCTTCAGAGGAATACCCTTCAATAATTGTAGGAGTATTCTTAGGAGTTAGATAAAGACAAAATTCTATAGTCATATGAGGATATGGTTATGAGAATCTTGAAAAATGAAATTAAATGGGTATTGATGATTTTGTCTTTTTTGTGAAAATAGAACTTCATGAGAAGATTCTTGAGAAAGTGAGTTGACTTTCTTTTCTTTGCCTTTGTCTGACTTTGATGTTCCTGGTTTTGGTCATGGTCTATAAGCAGTGGTTGTAGGTAAATACCAAGAAGACTGTGTTAGTGGTTGAAAGAATGGAAATGGGTTCTGAAAAGAGGAGTATGTAAGAGTTGAAGTAAAGAGATATAAATAGCAGGAGTAACAGGATGTGCATGACAAAGGTTCTGCACTTATCTTGTCCCGGTAGAAGGAGACATTCTTCTTCAAGGATCTTAACATATCGTTCATATTTTCGCAGAGGTTCTGATTTTTCTTGGCGATGAAGTTCAATTTAAGGACCTTTTCAATGTTCAATCCTTCTGTTGGGAGAGAAAAGAGTTTTTTGCAAGATCCTCCTTCAAAGTCGTCATCCTCATTTGCGTCATCGTTTTCCTCACTGGTATCTCGAGTGTGATCACAACAATCATAGTCAAAATCACACATATCAGGATCTGCATCCCATATGAAGTGTCCATTTATCTTATCTGTAAAAATGGACTTCTCATCTGTAAAAATGGATTTCTCGTTAGGATATACACTGATCTCCTAACACTAATGATAGAGATTTTGTCTTCTTTAGTGACAGGTGATATCTCATTGATTGAAATATAAAGTTGTTTGAACTGGGAACATCTTCAAGATTTTCTAGAATGGTTTTGACAATACCACAAATCTTCTAAAAGTGGCTTCAGTAAATTGGATAGATTTTTTATTAGTATGAAATTTTTTATAGTTAGTGACTCACTGCATAGGGATAAACTTTTGTAGTTCTTGTTAAAAAATGTTTCTGAGAATCTGAACTTAACGGGACTCGCTTACCTGAAACATTTGCCAGAAAGACTTTAAACACAAGGACATTTTCCCTACTATACTCAATTGAGTCAGTCACTAAATGCATCATCGACTCACATACTATACTCAATTGAGTCAGTAACTAAACGAAGCATCGACTCACTTATTATACTCAATTGAGACAGTAACTAAATGAATCATCGACTTTTATACCACTCTTAGGAATCAGAGTAACCGTATAAAAATTCACAACTAAAATAAAAAATGAAAAAAGAGAAGTAAAATAGAAAATAAGCAATAATAAAATTTTACTACGAGAAGAAATTATAATACCCTGTTTAAATTTAAGGAAAAAACAATAATAATATTCCTTTTCAAAAATAAGAGAACTTAATTCCTATGCATACACTAGTAAAAAGAAGAAAGAAGATATTTGAGACGATTTTTAAGATAGAAATGATGTTTCTTTTATTACTCGAAAAAATATACAACAATATGTAATTTTTCTGACGTATAATTTCTCTTCTTACATTCTTATAACATTTTTTAAAAAATTATTAGACTCTAGTATCATTTTGGACATAAACCCCCTCTTATCAAGACAATACAAGATACCTACACTATTATAATTTAAAAGTCATTTTATATATATATATGCTTGATTTTTATTTTTTTAAAATAATTTTTTTTATGGAAATAGTATTTTATTTACTTAATTTCTATTTTTTTAATAAAATACTTTATAAAAATAACTTATTATTTATATTGATAAATTAAAAAAAATCCCCATTTACATTAAAAAAAACAGTGAAAAGTACTACTATAAATATTCTCGGTCACGTCACTATCACTCATCTAATGAACTCTTAAAATAGAGTGATCAAGGTCACTCGAGAGCGATAGATGCCTATTTTCAATTAATTATATAAAATCTTAAAGGCTGCATCATGAATAGTATTAAGAGAAAGAAAAAAATAATGAAACTTAATATAAAATAAAAGATAATCATAAATTATACAAACTTTATTTTTTTATGAAATTAATTAATTAAATAAAAAAATTCAAAACCATTACAAATAATTTCAATATAACAATATAAATTGTTTACAAATTTAATGATATAAATTAATTAACTAAAAGGAAAATAAAATGTTTGATTGAGAAAACAAATACTGACCTGGCAAAAAGAGCAGAAGCGGAGAACCGTCCAAACTAGAAGCGCACTCCAATGGCGAAAACCACCGTGGCGGTCCACATTCCGATTCGATCAACTCCTTCGATTGTTCCAAATATTCCTTCCAACGGTTCACCCGCTTCTCCTTCTTTTTCTTCTCTTCTAATTGTTTAACACCTGTCGTTGCCACCACAACACATTCCACCGACGTCCGGTAGGAGTTTCGTTTACCGCCAAGTGACGGCGGGTGATGGCGGAGGAGGGCGGCGGGAAAGAGGCAGGCTGCTGTGGATCCCATGGCGGCGGAAGATTCGAATATATATAAAAAGCGTTAGAGGAATACGAAGGCAATGTAAAAGCGAATTAGAAAATGAAGTGAGTGTGAGGAGTCTATGATTTATAATTAGAGAAGGAAAAGTTGGATAAGGGAGTGAAGTTGATGAAATAATGTTATTATGAAACGGTGGAAAGCATGGAAATGATCCAGTGAGGAACAGTTTTTTCTTACTCAAAATGTGTGGAAGAGTCTTTGCGATGCTGCGATGTGACTGTTGTTGCCTATTCGAACTGATTGAACTCTTATTTTTTCCACCCATAAAAATTAATTTTTGTTTACGTATACCAGAGATTCAACTCAATGTACAAAATAATGTGACTATAACAGCCACTAAGTTAATGTTTTGATTGGTATATATATTTTATTTATTTATAGTATATATATATATATATATATATATATATATATATATAAAAGTATATCTTTTGCTTATTATATATAGTTTATTTATTTGTAGTATATATAATTATATCTTTTAGGTTTGATATGAGTTAATTAAAATTTTTAATTTTAATTGTATTAATTAATATTTTTATTGTAATAATTAATAAATTTATTAACATTTTAATTATTTTAATTATAATAAGTAATATTTTAAGTTATAGCATAATAAATTGGTTTCAAGAAATTAAAACTTGAGTTCACGTAATAATTAAAATCAATATCTTATAATTTGAATTGATTAATAAACTAATATTAAATTTAAAATGAATTTATTAATAGTTACAAGTTATTTAAACAAAACATAATTATTATAATAAAAAATCTAGAAAATTATCATCTTAATAAGTTTCTATGTATGATTACAAGTTCAAACTTTAAATATTCAATATTTACAGTACATGTAAATAAGAAAAAAAGTTGTATGCATCAAAATTTAACAAACTAAACATGTTCAATGTAACAAAATAAGTTTAAGTATAAAACATTTACATTCATTATTTTAGTTAAATAATTAAAAATCTATTAAAATAATATAAAATATTTTCAAGATCATTTATATTAAGTTTTTCTTATATTATGTAAAATAAGTTATTTATCTAAAGATTAACTTAAACTTTAACTTATCAATTATAATTATAATGACAACCTAAATTATAATTTGTATTTTGTATATATTCATAATCAATAAAAAGACAAATTATGGGTTATTTCTTACATAGTATCAAATTATGTTACCTTTATTCCTTTTTAAAAAAATCTAATCACCCCTGTGTTTATATTTTTTGAAGTATCTTCTTTTTCTCTCTTTTTTCATAAGTGTCCCTCCATGACTCACAACCTTATTTAAGATTTAAGTTAAAATTCATTTTGTATTTCAATATATCATTGTAACATGCTGTTATAACAAATATTAAACAAGGTCGTTGGTCTATTTCTATAAAATCATCTTAATGTTATTGTTCTTTAACATATTTATATTATTGTATTTGTTGATATTCTTAGATGTATCCTTCTCACTGATAATTTGACGGATTAACAGCATATATAATTGAGTCATTTCAAGGTAAAAAAAAAAACTAATTTATTTTTTTCTTAATTTTTCCAAAATACTTCAATTTATTTCACAATGTAAACAAATCAGAAGTTTAAATATTAATGAAATTAGAATCATCAAATATTATAAGATAAGTGCCTTATTCCCAAATAATAACTTGCATTTATTTACAAAACTATATTTACTTAGTGCTATAATCAATTAATTAATCATAAACACGAATATATATAAATTAAATTTATATAAAATAATTTTTATCTCACTGACATGATTTTGATACATTGAAAACATTTGATCAACCAAAATTTGTTCGATGCGATTCTGATACATATTCATTACTAAGATTTGATTAAAATCTTAAAAAAAGAAATTGTTTCTCAAATAAAATAATACTTGATTCTACTACTCTATTCTTTTTTATATACAAATTTTATGTAAGATTGAACCATGCAATTTGGATTTCAAATATTTACCCCAACATAACGTGATCATATATACCTTTTGAATTTGGGAGGAGCGGAGAGAACAAAACGTTGTGGATGGATGGGTTTAGAAACGAAGGATCACTCCGACTCGGTCACCAATGTTGAACCAGTGGTGGTGACCAGACTTGTTGGCTATGTCGATCAAACCATTGACGGTTTCATTTAAGATTTTGGACTTCAAATTAAATCAAATTATAGCCCTGTTGTTTTTTTCACTTTAAATGGATTTGCAATTTGATTGAAAATTTTGCACTTACAGATATGCTAATGTCAAAACGGATCCAGATCATATTAGTCGGGAAGAAGAATCCATCGCACCAAACTATGCAGAGAGTTGAGAAATTATATTAAAAAATCATGTTTAAATTTTATAGAAACTAAATTAATATGAAATTTTTTTACAAATTGTTTTTTAAAATAACATTTTATAATATTCAAAGCATATTTTTTTTTCAAAAATATAATAAATAATTTTTAAAAGAAATTTTTTTTTCAAAAAATAAAAGTAAAAAAAAAAATCCTAGATCAATCGATTAAATATGATTTTATTTGTACTGAGAAACGAAAATTTGAAGACAAAAAATGATATATTATTTTAGTGAAAAACTCACATAAATAATGTCATCATTAATGAGCGTAAACAACATATGTTACGGAAATGGACTTATGTGAATTAAATGATTATAAAAAGCAAAAATATGATTATATAATAATTCTCATTTATAATAATTAATATAAAAAGCAACTGGACTGGCCCTATTCGGCAACCGTGTTAGGGGTCCATCTTGACCCAATGAGTATTGTACAGGCCAGTAGGCCCAAAACTCCACTACAAGCAAGCGAAAAACTTGGATACCATATTGGGTTAAAGGGTTCTTGGGCCTCGCTCTCATCTACTTTTACTTGAAATGTAATAAAAATTAATATAAATAAAAAATAAGCAATGAATAATTATAAAATATATTTTATTTAAATACATTAAAAAAATAAATTTTATAACTTTTAAACCATTAATTATAAATAAAGCATGATAACAAAATTTAAAATGAAAAATAGAAACGACATATTAAAATCACATAAAAAATAAATAATATGTTATTAATAATTTACATCGCAATATTAATATATTTAAATTAATTAAAAATCTATTTAGAACAACTTTATTTTTATTATAAAGTAAAGACATAAATCTATATACCAATAACCCTAATCGAAGTACCACCATTAACCCATATATATAACAAATAGTAACTTACACTTCATTATTAAAACTATATCCAAACCAATTTTAAGGCATATTCGATGATGTATGTATGTATATAAAACAATTGACACATTTTCATATTAAAATGAAATAACTTACTCATGTTATGTTTTAATGTAAAGGAAAAATCATGCTACTTTAAGTTTAATTTCCAAATTAAAAACATGTAAAGAATAAACTAAAAAATAAAGGTAAGAAAATTAAATATAAATAAAAATGGGTATCGATAACTGAAAACAAATACAAATAACGAAAAATGAGGGTTGTGAAAAGATAAAAGGTAAAGCTACTCGACATGCACATAAGTTATGGGTAAATTGGTAATTTTCCTTCTTGTCACTGTGGCTTCCACATTATTTCTCATCATTTAAGAGAGGAAAACCACCTATTCATACATACATCACTCTAAATCACGCTGACCCGAACTTTCTACTATAATCAACTGATATCCATATACAGTAACAATACATCCCTTAAACCAACTAATGAGATGTATAAAACTTGACTACTTGTTCTTCTTGCCCAATCATTAGCTATTCGCATTTTTCACTTACGGATTTAAACTTTGAAAAAAATGTGCTCCTACAATGTTTGTCTGACAAATTATGCCTTTTAACCAGAAAACAATGCCTGAAACTACTGGCAATATACATAGTTTGCTTCCAACCTAGGTAATGCAATGATCATTGGTCTCTCTAAACCAATAATAAATTTACCTTTTTTGTGTGTGTGTGCGCAAAACAGTCAAATTTCAAATGATGGAACTTCAGACTCAAAACCATGAGTCGCCTGGTATAATAGCCTAGGTCCTATACTTCTGTAGGGGTCGCTTTCTCTTTTCACCTTTAAATAAGCAATACATCTCTCTACCTCGGATTTCACTTGTAAATAAAACTCATGGGATTTCTCCCTATCTTTCAGTTCTTGTTTCCTCCCTGTCAAACAATATCTCATTAATCTAAGAAGGCAAAATCATATTTCATGGACATTCCCAGCAAATATGTATTAGACATACCTTTCGTTTCCAATGGTTTTCCAAAATAGTAGTAGAACCGCCCAGGAACTTTAGGCATAATCAAGGGCATATGCACTTGTTGATTTGCTACCTCCCCACCAAGATCACTCCTAGATTTCCAATTGTAAGGTATATATTAAAATAATAATGTATGTGTATACATATACAGCAGATGAAAATTAAGGACAGCAAAGATGTATGTAGAAGTGTTATGTTAAAATTTGGTATGAGTAAAACACACCAAACAAGATACCTTAACTGCGTAGCCTCACTTGTGAGACTTTCTATTTCAGACCTAAAGTACGGAATCTGCACCAAGTCATCATAATCAAAAACTACCTGAAAAGACCAAAGTGAAATGATGTGTTACGGTAATTTAAGGTCCAAAGCATAACTACATATCATGAGAAAATGAAATTCAAAGATGGGCATATTCATGCATCAAAAGAATAAAAGTGTTCTGTTGAAACTTTTAGTGCTGTAGTTAACCTTAACATCATAATTAGGAGCATTCAACAATTAAAATTAAAATAACACATGCTGCCCTGGGAATTGCAAACCTTTCTGAATAACTCAGCCTTCGGACACATGCGAATACATACACAAATACAGAGCAAGTTTACTTTTTCTATTTAACATCGATGTTAAACAAAATCTAAGCATGTGCCCTCACTTCATGTAAATAACTTGAGTAGTCTATGCTAATAACTACTTGCAAAGCTAAAATCCTTTTACCGATGTGGTGACACTAGGATGACAGTGGAAAATATGCATTTCACTCAGAGTGAACCAAAATTAAATCCTAGATTTCAAAGAGAAAATTTTGTACATATGAGTAGTTCGTAGAATTTTTCTTTCCAGAAAAACAATAGATTACGCTTTGCCTGATGCAAGCATTTTTAAGCACTTCGTAAAGAAAAAGGATTGGACCAACACTTACTTGACCAAGGTCATCTTCTCCAACTGCTCCAAAAGGTACAATTTTGGCTCCAAATCTTGCTGCCATCCTAACAAACTCAGATTGCTCAGGCCAGAATAACTTGTATTCTTCACCCTGATAATTATAACAATGCTGGAGATTTTAAACATGCCCGGCATATTTGAAAGCATAAATACAGATAAAGCGAGCCTAAAATATATCCAATGTAAAAAAAACTTTCATATTAAGTGCTTGTTTCATTTAGGTTGCTTTGAAAATTAATCACATTTTCCCCACTTCTCAGTTTCCTGGACCTCTTGAAAAAGGCGATTATCTCTCATGAAAAATTGTTGGGGAACGGATGTCAGAATGATAAAATACGCATATGCATTCAATTTTAATGCCTCGTTTGTTTAAACCTCGAAATATAGCCCAACCCTATACTTCAACACTCGGTGTTCAACCTCAGAACTCTGCATATGTATACAACAATGAAAATGAATGCCTAGCATTTGATTAAAAATTCTTACAAGAGTACAAAATATCACCTAACAGACAACTAGTTCTAGCAATTTTATGATGATAAAGGGAACGTAAAACTTGGAAGCATATGCTTTTGTTTATGTGGAAATACTATGGAGTACATGGAATATAACAAATATTATTTTTCCAGCATATCTACAATCTACCACACTTAATGTAATTTCCCTTTTATCTTTTTTTTTTTTTTTAAAATGAAATTTAAAATACATAGTAGTGATATATGATAATTCATTCAATTTCACACGCTCTTTCCAAAATATATGCCCCACATTTTGCATTCATATCCAAGTTAAACGAGCAAATTCATGATTGCACGTGAAAGATGAAAGGATTTACCTTCCTATGTAGAGCCTCGCGCATCCCTCCAGGATATAATAGCACATGGGACTTGGAAGAAAAAAGCTTAAAAAAGTTAGCTGGTGCTACAGGGACAGCACCCATAATTCGGAATTTGTCAAACGAAGATATATCTGGCATTTTTCCAGTTTTAGATCTCATAAACATCATGGGATGTGCTATCCCACGAATAAGTATATTTTTTTCCAAATAAATTCGAGAAACCAGGGGAATTTTTTCTAATCCCAGCAGCATGTGGTACCCGACAAACAGAACAGGCCCCTCTGAGGGAATTCCATCAAGACCTTTTACGATCGTCCCATCCTCCAAGGTTGAGAGCATTACAGCACTTGCGATAAGGTTAAACAAACTGGAAGCATTAAAAGTTAAATGTGTCAAAGAAATAATTAATTTGCTTGCACTACAATCAGTAAATCTAATCGAGCAAAGATAAATTGACATAATATATATATATATATATATATATATATATATATATATATATATATATATATATATATATATATATATATATATATATATATTCTGGTTAGGTGGGATATCATTGAAAAATTTGTTCCTCCCCAAATTTTTCTAATATGGAATGAGTGAATCATCCAGTATCTTATTGAATAAAAGTGATAATATTATTTCTCTATTATATATAAAATAGAGAAATAATATTATCAACTTACTTAGCAACAGCTCACCTTCCAATCTATCTTATAATATATAATATTAATTAATCCTCTTGGTTTTACCTGTTGGATTCTATTACTTTTCTGGCTTCATCAGTTGTTGGCGGTATAAAATCTGATGCATAGTCATGATACTTGCCCCGGCGGTAGTATGAAGTGCCCTTGATTATCGTTACCAGGTCAATGCTGCCTTCCTGCTAGCAGTGGACACAGTTGTCATATTAGGGTTTGTTTGAACTTCCCACTGATATTTGATATTGTTTTTCTCCGATCAGATGTAAAGGATCACGATGCATGCCTGAATGTAAACACAAAGGACAAGCTTGCAGAAATGTATAAATGGAGAAATCCATACCAGGAATAGGAAATGGCCACTGTCATCAAATTTACGAAGCTCGCATTTAGATTTCGACAGTAAATTGAGTAATCGTTCACCTTCCTGCTGACTAGGTAGTAACTGATCATTTCCACTAAAAGGGCAAATCACAAAGTAAGTTTCTTCATACACTTGAAAATATGCTGTGCATATGAATATGAGATATTAGGTGGGATTAAGTTACCATCCACCCTGAGAATTCATTGTCCAATTCAAGTAATTGCAAGCAGTAATGGGAAATCCCACTAGGTTCTCATAATGTACACTTGTTTTCAGATGAAAATATTTACTTTGACGATTTAAGCTTTTATCTTGTACTTGTTGTCCAATTTAACCCATAGAAATTGATCAGGATCTGGTTTGTAGACCATGAGATTCTTCTGTTTACAGATTCCCTACATTGAAGTCTAACAATAAGATGTACACTTCTGGAAGTGAAAAGTTAATGAAACACTTCTTTTTTTACACAACTTAATGAAATGCTTACTTATGATTCCGTTTTATGACAGTTTCAATATGTACAATGGCAAAGAGAAGGAACCTGCAAAGAATCAAAGTCTGAGCTTTGATAGCATAAAGGCGTGATTGGGCATAAGAAGAAGCTGACTTAAGCATCTGTAGTTTCCATACAAGTGTTTCTTTTGGTAATATGTCAGCAAGAACCTGAGAATTCAATCAACAAAAGATTTCACTATTGAAAGTAAATGACGGGGAAGCTCAAAAATCAAGATTAACACAAAGAAGCCAAAATGAAGAAAATTCAGTCATGTCAATCGACGTTCTTCAAAAGTCCAGTATCACTTTTATGAACTGTGGGTTCAAGAAAGACAGAAAATAAGTTAATCAAATTTAGAGAATAATTTTAAAAAAATTATTATTAAAAATAAATTGAAAAACAAAAAAACTTATTAATAACTCTAATTTTAAAGATTTTAGACAAAAGAATATGACATCAATTGATAAAAATTACCACGAGAAATTAAAAAATGATTTTAATAATTTCATGATGACAAAGGCGGTAGTATAAAACACCTTTTATGAAAATAAAAAAAATATAGAAACAACATTAATGAAAACAAAAAATAAAAATAAAAAATACATTTTATCAGTTTTGATTTTTTTAATTTTTAAAAGTTAAAAAAAAAATTTGAAAATTGTTTTAACAAAATAATTATCATCAAGTTTGGTAGCTTTTAAAAATTTAAAACTGTTTTTAAAAAATTAAGCGAACAAATCCTAAATTTCTTTATTTGTTTTTCAACGAAAGCAATTGAACCTTACATGTAAAGATAATGAGAAAGTAGTTAAATCCTTCACTAGCTCTCCAGCCGTACTTTGTAGAGGAAGCCCTTGGACCACATTATCCAACACCATCCTCAGAGATTCACCTAATGTTACATGAAAAGTTGATGACATAAATGGAAAATGACATCATTTCCTTTGGTTTAAAGATAAAGACAGTATATTGATCCTTGATCAATGAATGATAAACGATCTTTTCCTAAAAATTATTCAGTGTGTAAGGATCTATAAGTAGAAAACTTAGTGTAAGTCCCTCATGACACTGAAGTAGTTGCTGATTTAATATTCTAATTATCTAATGAACAATAATTCATGAATATTCAGTGAAAATAAGCAAAAGCCACAAAAACTAGCAATTCCGTTTAACTAGTCACCATTTAAATATTAAATCATGAAAGGTGTAGGAAAGGGAAAATGACAAAAAGAATCATAGAGAAGATCCAGCAAAGGCTTGAAAGATTTATATGGTAAAGGACGAAAATGTAATAGATCCACCAAAAGTATTGTGAGACGTAAAACAATGGAGAATAGATGCATGGAAATAATATGAAAATATATGTAAATGACATGAAACCCATGGGCATTTCTCATCAAAAAACTCAAAAGAGATGAACATAATAATGGAATTATGCTTATGATTTGAAGCATTGAAAACAACCAGAAACCTACAACTGACAAAGCAAAAATTACTCAGAGCTGAGAGTGAGATAACTGTCTGGTAATATAAACAACCTACTAGGTCCCCCGCATCAGGTAGTGTTTTAAGGGTAGTCCCTTTTCTTAAAGCAATTATCTTATATATAGTGCATGTTTAGGGGAACTATTTTCAGAGGGAATAATAGCTTATTTTTCAAAAGTTTTCTCAAGAAGCTGCACAAAATAAGATTTATTCCTTAAAAGAAGTATACACAGTGATTCTTCTGGCTGGTATAATGACACATGTAATTTATGTTGGAAGTTGCCTTGCCAATTAGTTTTATGTTTAGAACCTTAACAATTGAAGACATAAAAGAGCTCTTAAAATGAAATCTAGACCCAAACACATCTGCCATAGATTTTTAGAAAATAGTTCACAAAGAAAGAAAGAAACATAGCCTTTAAAACATCACGCACGAACCTGCCGTTGATCGGAGAATGTTAGGCAGACCAGGAGAGAGTGGATCAGGCAAAGCTTCCAATAATGGTGTTAGAAGTTGCAGGTATGACCTGCTGAACGAAGTAGCTGCCAAATTGGGTGGGGAAGGTGAGATCAAATTGTCCATCTTTTGTACTTAAATAATAGTGAATTAGTAGTACATAGCAGCTACTAGAGATTCTCTAAAGTTTAAGTATAGATTAAAGTCATGTTTATAGTGGTGAATTGTCTTGAAAAATAAAATCCAAGAAAACAAATCTTAACTAGATCAATAAAAGTTACCTGGGTTTGCCAAAATTAGTACAAGATCAATATCAGGGTTATGAGCTGCAACAGCCAGCGCAAGGCATGCTCCTAAAGATTCTCCAACAAGATATATGGGTCTGCTTGGTGAGCGTTGATATTCTGACTTAACTGTTCTCTCAACTATTTTCACAAGGTCTGCAAGAGGGAAGTATACATAACGGTAAATTATGCAGGAATACATCACTGAAAGAAGATATCAATTTTCTGAAAAAGTAAGAAGAAACATGTGATTACATTTTCAACACCAATATACTTTCAACCATTTTCAAAAAGTAGAGCAAAAACAGCAGAATAAACTTATGGTGTTCAATATGAGCACGAAATATTATAATGAGTTACAGGGGAAAGAAGAGTACTTGTAAATGGTGTTCGATCCGCGACCGGAATATGCAAGCACCATATATCAAAAATCCTTCATTCAAGAAAAAGAAACAAAAAGAATATTTATCACATATCACTTAATAACCCTTTTCCTTCAAATTCATCTCTTCACCTAAACAGTGCATTCCTAAAATGACAATCTGATGAGTGCAATTTGGCTTTAACATTAAATGAACACAAACCTTCCCAGTTTCTGATGATGTAAAATAAGTCCAAGTCCCACGCCGTCAATCCCTGTAAAATTTGGAATGCAAATTATTTTTACACAAGTTATGAGTAACCTTGTTTGAAATCATGACATGAAGAAAGGATAAGCTTCATGTTCATCATTGGTGGAGTATGAGATAATAAATCTCACATTGGTGGATTAGAAACAAATGAAAGAGTATATAAATTAAGAGAGCTGAGTCTAACTCTTGAGTGTAAAGATTTTAGATTCGTAACTCAAAGCTGATAGCCTTCTAATTTAAATTCTCATACTCTCTACTCATGTTTTATATCAAGTCAAAGCTTATGTTAAAAATAGACTTGAAACCCAAACAAAGAGACAGATATATTAACTAAAAAAATGACTAATTAAATGAAAAAGGACCTGTGACCTAAAAACTGAAGAAAAAATTAAATAAACCTAGCCGATAAATGAAAGTATGGTTTGTAATTTCTAAAACTAAATTTGAAGTAAAAGCTTAGACTTAAAATTGAAAATAAGTTACAATTACAAAAAAAATCATATTAATTTTTATAATTTAAAATTTTTAAGTGAAATATGGAAAATGTTTGTGTTTTTAATTCTATTTTGAAATTTAAAATCGATAGGTCGATAAAAATTTCACATAAAAATAACTAAAACTTAATAAAGTAGCTTCATATTTTTTTCGTAAATTAGTAACTTAAGTTCATAAAAATATAGAAAATTTACATCATTATATTATTCATTGCAAAAGCTAACCCAAACTTTTTATAGTATGCAAATTCAATTCCCATGTTTTTTTTCTTTTGATAGAAACCAATGTGAAACAAATTTGAATAATTTAAGGATAAAATACTTCATATAATTTACATAAACAGGAATATAAACTACATTTTAAATGAAATTGTTATTCTTCACATACTATTTCAAATAAAGAAATAAAAGGTTTTGTTTGTTTGTACTTAAAAAAATGTTAAAAATTAATTTGTTTTTAAGCAACTCCAAATTACTTCTAAACAAATGAAAAAAAGGATATATATATATATATATATATATATATATATATATATATATATATATATATATATATATATATATATATATATTCTATTCCTATTTTTTAATAAATTTACTTAAACGTGTTAAAAATTATAATAAGGATATTTTATCTAAAAAAAATAAACAAAACACAAAGTCACGTCAGAAAATTTTAAATTTGTTAGAGACAATACAAGACTTTCACAAAACAATGGCCAAAACACAAAGTATTTGGGCAGGCAAAAAGGGGATGTCACGATTGACAATTTATAGGAGATCTACGCTGGCAGCAGTTTACACAAAATAAAATGTTATAAATAAATAAACGTTGAGAAATTTAGGCCTTAATACAGTCATTTTTTTAAATTGTGCACTTAAACATGATTTTGACCCTAAAAAAAAGCACAAAGACCAAAATTGTGATTAAATAAATTACTTCTATGAAAAAATAGAGAATTTAGATATGACTTTCCTATTAAAAAGTTGGAAAGGTAGTGAAAAACTGTTTTCATAATAAAATTCGTGTGTCAAAATATAACTTATCTATTTCTCAATTTTGTTAAAATTACCAATTTTCATAATTTTTATTTTTTTCTTAAGAAAAAAAAACACTACCCTGTTTCTGTAAAGTTGTCTAAAGACTTGAAGAATATATATTAAGAAATATGTTATTATCACTCCTCAACACCTAAATAAAAAATAAAAATCAATCATGTGAGCTAAGACCCACTAGAACATAATGTTTTGAATATATGCCAAGTTAGGGTAACATAATCTAATCAATTATGCTATAACAATTATGTGAGAAATAAAAATTATTTTATAGTATAAAATCGATAATTTATAAACTCATTTACATTTTTCTATTCAGAAACATGTTTAAACTGCATCCAACATTATTAGAAACCATAATATATGTGTCCGTAAACGTTGACGACTTTTTTAATGAAAGTTGACGACTTTTTATGTATATTATTAACTAAACGTCTAAATCTCATTAATTAAAGTGTTTGCGTTACCTTAAAACCATGAGCTATATAGTAGATAGTGTTTTCGAAGTCTGCGTCACGTTACCTTTATTCTATATATGAACCACTGGATAGCAGCCACTCTCACTAAAAAGCAAGACCGTGTATCACAAATTGACAGTGGCTAGTTTGTGTTATGTTACACACATTCTTTTATGGAAATTGTATTTAGTGGAAATATTTTTATTTTTTTAAATTACTTTTTTATTTTAAATGTTTTTGAAACGGACGAAAGTGACCTTTGACATGATGTAAGATTAAACCATATCTTAAAAGTATCTTCTTCTTTTTTTAAAACATGGACCGGATCGACCCAGTTTAACTATTCTAAATGACCTATCGAATTAGACAGAATTGGACCACACCGGCGCATTTCAAGGTCCTATATACATTTACTATGAATGTTGCTTTATTAATAAAATAATCAATAAATGTTATACTTACTTCAGAAGCAATATAAAATATTTTTTTATTATCACAAGATATACAATTTAAAAAGTAACTTACAAATTTTAATATTTATATACATATTTAGTTTTTGTGTTTAAAATAAAATCACCTTAATCCATATAATTATTAACATTAGTATTACACCTGTTATTTTAATCTCTTTTTACCCTTAAAAACTACAAAGACTAAAAATATGCGTAAGAAATAAAATAAATGTTTTAAAAATAGGTTTAATTATCTTTTGAATCCTATTATTTATTTAAGAAATTAATGAATTTTTTTAATTAAAAATCACGCTAATAGAGCTTACAATAACAATATTTCAATTACACTTTTTCAATGTAAAATAATATTTTTTAAATTATTTTACCATTATCTTTTGAAAAATATATTTTTTTCCAAATTTTTAAACTGAGCAGACCACTTAGAAAATAAAATAAGAAAACTAAGCCATTAGTGAAAAAAATAATTATTAATATATAATTTAAATTGTCCATTATCTGAGTCTCCTCTTTTTCTTTTTCAAACAAAAAAAAACGCACTTAAGAAAGTAATTAAATCCACATGTTTTTAAAATTTTAAAACTAAATGATAGATACGAAAAAGACAGTAATCTTATTTACGATTCAATCAAAAGTATAGAAATTTCAGAACAACAATTTCCACCCTCATTTTTCATATTTAATTTATGTCACTTCAGAAAATTGATTCAAAAAGAAAAGCTCCAGAAAATTAAATGTATCTAAGACAAACTTTACCTGAGAATCCCAACAACCTATCTCAATCAAATTCCAGTTTTAATGTTGGATCTATGACTTTCAAACTTGGTAAACTCATCCTCGTCCAATTAAAAATATTATTTATCTAATAATTTTATTATATAAAAATATATAATTGATCGTATAAATATTATGTTATCAATTTATATATAGATATTTCCTCCTATATATATTTTTGGAGTAAATATTTCATTTCGTAAGTATAGTTTAAGACTTCACTAAATTATAAAATCCATTTAAAATTATAACTAATTATATTGATATCTAAATATTTTAAAATTGATATTTATGTTTAAGTATTGTTCCTTTCGTATAACTATTAAAGTATTGATTTTGGAAGTCTTTTTAATAATATATATATATATATATATATATATATATATATATATATATATTTTTTTTTTTTTTAATTAGACAATCTAAATTCAACTCAGTGGATTTTTCAATAAAATTATAACAACCCATTTTAAGCGAAATGTTTGTTTTAGAGAATTTTTTACATGTTTGAAAATAAGAAAGAAAATATTTATTCTTATACTTGTTAAAAAAATATAAATAAAATTTATAAATATGTTTTATTCTCATAAAAGTTATCCTCACCAAAACTTTTATAATTCTCCTATTAAAAAAAGTTATGAAACCAATTCTTAGAATAAGTACTGAGTTATAAAAAAATAGCTATAAAAAAAAAGCAATCGTCGAAAGCAAAACTTTAGCGCAACCAGGAAAAGGGAGATAAAAGATAAACCACGTTTAATCAAACCAAATAGATAAGAAAAACAAACGCAAAAATTAATAATAATAAGAAGATAATAGTAAAATATTGTAAGAGAGAGAAAATTTTGACCTGGCAAAAATAGCAGAAGAGGAGAATTGTCCAGACGCGAACCACATTCCAATGGTGAAAACCACCGCGGCGGTCCACCGTCAGGCCCGATCATTTCCTTCGATTGTTCAAAGTATTCATTCCAACTGTTCATACGTCGCTTTTCTTTCTCTTCCTTAACTTTCTTCTCTTTCTTCACCGTGCCATGGCGCACTGCCGTCGATGCTGGAATCTGGTCTGCAGATACGGCGAGAAGCGGAGTCACACTCGAGATCCGGTTGCAGCTCGGCGAGAAGGTAGCGGCGGGGAAGAAACAGGCTCCGACGGCCGTCATGGCTGCGGGATTGAGGAAAGAGAAAAGATGAATACGAACCAATGACTATTGTCTGAATAAATGTTTGAATGAGACTAAACTATCCACGACAATGAAAATCTGAATCTGGAAGTGAATAGACGTTAGTACACACTTGTAATTATAACAAACAATTAATACATTATTAATAATAATTTAAGAGCAAGAAAATTACTATTATATTGCATAATGGTGTGAAAATTCAGAGAAATTACAGGGGTGGGAGAGTCTTAGGGATGTGTGAATGTCCAGTGTGCATTGTTGTGCTTCACGTGTTGTTTGTTTGTTTCACACATCAATGTTTTTTAATAGTATATTCTGGTCTGGATTAAACATGTAATACTTTAATTTCATATTATTTATTTAATTTTTAAGTTTATAAATTTTAAAATATACATAATTGTTATATATCTATTAAATTAAATTTTTAAATATTTTTAGTAAAAGTATATTCACAATTTTATTTGTTTTATTTAAAAATTATTATGTTTAACAGTGTAGAGAATTTTTTACATATTAAAAATTGAATAGTTTGATTATTATATATTAAAAATATCTTTAAAATTGTTTTCTAAAAAAATTGAGAAAATATTTTTTATTATAGAAATAAAAGCATAAAAAAATAAAATATTAATTTATTATTATAATCATACAAATATAAACAAATAAAGAATATAATTATTCTTCTTATAAAATAAAAGAGGAGTTGGATATTTGTTTCAATATTATGGAGTTATGTTTTTTTTTTTAATTTTAATATTAATTTTACTATTAAAAATTTGAAAGATTCTAGTAAAAGGGTAGATGTGAAATTTTCACACACATCATTATTCATTAATGCATTAGGTGAAAACAGAAATAAGATATAAGTTTATTGATTAATGCATTAGTTGATAAAAAAAAAAAGATATAAGTTGTAAAAAGTAAGGTATGAATAATTAAATAAGTAAACACATCATATAAGATAAAGATAAAAAAAAATAAGTTGTCGACATAATCATTTATTATCTAATAAAAAATTTTATTTAATTGTCTACATAAATTAAACAATTTATTAATTATTAAAATATGTTTAATAATGATACTTTACAAATTAGAAAATAAGATATAATCAATAATTTTGAAATACTACAAAATTATTAGGTCCCATAAAAGAAATCAGACTAATCACTTTATAAATAAATCTCATGACTAATCTTTTATATAAAAAACCTAACCAACATTGAAACTATATTATGTGACTAATCTCAATACAACACAATTACTAACTATAGGGTTAATCACTCTTAATCAATAGCACAATCAAGTCAAACTAGTTTATCAAAATACAAAGAAGAAGATATTGTTGGAAAAATAATAATAATAATAATAATCTTAATTTTGATTCTAACGATCAAATATAAACGTAATATCGTACTGATAAACATGTTGTAAACTTAATGCGAAAGTGTACCTGAATTAGCAATAATGATGATATCTTTGTAGAACACTGTATTAATCTTATGGTCTTCCACCTGAAGAGCACCTGTATTTCCCTCTTGATTTTCTCTTTTGATGGGGATAGAAAGAAATGAACGAGACTGATACTTACGTTTTGTGTGTGCTCCCAGAAAGGGACCACGACTCCTTAAAATAACCAGAATTAGGTTAATTACTTAAGTTTTAGTATTTCCAATTTGGCCCCTCATCAAATTAGAAATTGTTCAATGGTCTCTGCACAATTTTATTTTCATGACATATGCATTTAGCCAAAACTTTAATTTAGTCAGATCACTTTATTATTTGGCTTAATAAATAATGACCCTAACACATTTAAATTATGTATCATATATATATATGACCCAAATTTTGCCAACAATCTCCCACTGGTCACAAATATATATGTCCTTACAACCTTACAAATGTGTTAGACTTTATGAGCTCAAAATTGTCATTATATTCCTTTAGCATACTCCAAAAGTCCTATCCATTAATCATATCAGAATATAGAACCAAACCAGTTTTTCATTGCATCATCGCAACTAAAACCAACAATGATTATTCATCCTGACATAACCAAATGACATGGATTCATCATAAAAAATTACGTGAAGGTGATCTGTACACGTCTATTTTCAACTGGTCCAAACTTTAACTTATCGAGATCGATATAATATCCTTAATGTATAAAGTGTAATGAATGAACGAAAAAACCGCATATCTATAGATAACCAAATATGTCCAAAAAACAATGTATACATATATGAAATTAAACATAGAACATAAAATTTATGAAAGTGACAACTCCCACTAAACCACAAATTCCTCAAACTGTAAAACACCCATGTGAGCAACATGTTCATGAAAGACCTTGGGCGAAAGTCCTTTAGTTAGAGGATCTGCTATCATGGAGTTTGTCCTTACGTGTTCTATGAAAATCTGTCCACTTTGTACTCTTTCCTTAATAATACAGCTGATTTATTGTCACAATATAACTTAAGTGGTATTTCAATGCCTTTCACAATTTGCAGACCTGTGACAAAATTTCTCAGCCATATTCCATGATTTGATGTCTCATAGCATGCTACAAATTCTTGCATCCTGCAAAATCTAAGTCAGAAAACCCAGCGATCTCCAACTGGTCTGACCTCCTGTATGTGAGCATATAATCTTTTGTTCTCTTTAAATATCTTATGACCCTTTTTGTTGCTTTCCAATGGTTTATTCCTGGATTGCTAAAATATCTATCTAGAACCCTAACTATGTATGCTATGTCTGGATGCGTACATACTTGGACATAGATCAAACTCCCTACAACTGATGCATAGGGAATATTTTGCATTTTCTCAAATTCCAAATTCCCCTTTGGGCACTGATTGAGACTAAACTTGTCTCCTTTAAACTTGTGATACACACAATCATCAACAATATTCATCTTGAAGCCAAATGAGTTTCATACCTTCTGGTAATGGGACAAGTTCCCAAACCTTATTGTCTTGCATAGACTTATACTTCTCTTTCATTGCTTCAATCCACTTTTGAGAGTTAGAACCTTGTATAGCTTGACGGAAGTTAACTGGATCATCTTCCATTATATCATTATTTTCCTCATGTTCCTGAAGAAATACCATGTAATCATCCGAAATAGCACTTCTTCTTTCTCTAGTGGATCTCTGCAAAGTTATTAGCTCATGATGCACATGTTATTGAGGATCTTGAGTTTGTTCTCCATGAACAACCAAATCATCTTGAGTAAGGGGTTCATCAACAATGCCTTGTGGAGGTTCCGAACTTACTTTATCAAAAGTAACTATTTGAATCGGTTCTGAAATTGTTACCGATTCTTCCTCCAAGATGAAGTTCTTAATCTTATTCTTCCCTCCAAACTCAATATCCTCAAAGAACGTAGCATTTCCCATCTCAAAAATTATCTTTAATGTGGGATCATAAAATTTATATCCCCTAGATCTTTCAGCATAACCAATAAAATAACTACTTACTGTTCGGGAGTCCAATTTCTTTTCATTTGGCTTATAAGGTCTTGTCTCAGCTGGACAATCCCACATATGGAAATGTTTCAGACTAAGTTGTCACCCAATCCAAAGCTCATAAGGTGTTTTGGTAGCTGCTTTAGTTGATACTCTGTTTAGAATATAAGTTGTCATATTTAGTGTCTCTCCCCAAAGTGATTCCAGTAAGGTGGAATGACAAATCATACTCTCTACCATATCTTTAAGAGTGTAACACAAGCCCAAATGTCACGATTTGAGTGTTACCTGAGCACTTGTGCCATAATGCACCTGAGTTAGTATTTTCAATTTTACGTTTAGTACCACATGATTCTGTATTAAGGGTTTCATTATAGGTGGCCATAATATCAAGTAAATACTTATTATCATAAATCAAAAGTGAACCAGTTCCAACAATATTTGAATTAAAAGACAAACTAAACTTATTGTTTCCAAATGAACACAAATAACCTAATTTTTCCAAATAAGAAACTGAAACTAAATTTCGTCTAAATGACGGCACAACAAAAGTGTCTTTCAAATCCAAATAAAAAATCAGTACTCAATAACAATTTAAAATGCCCTATAGCTTCCACCTCTACCGATTTGTCATCTCCAACATAAATCCATCTTTCAGAATCAATTGGCTTCTGGTAGTTTAGGCAATCCTTTCTTTTCACGCCAAGCATGATATTTAGCACATTTCTTCTTTACGTGTCCAGTCTTATTGCAAAAGAAACATTTGTTTTCTTGAATTTGTTTCTTCTGTTCTGGACCCTTAGCAGCTTCTTTCTCGAGATCCTCTTATCTCTTTCTTTTGCCCTTAGCCTTGGAGGTGCTTGCAAAATGAGCACTTTCTGTCTTGTCTTGCTTTAGTCTTTCCTCTTCTTGTACGCAATGTGAAATGAGCTCATTAAGAGACCATTTATCCTTCTGACAGTTGTAAGATACCTTAAATTAATTAAACGTTACAGGAAGAGAAATCAACACCAAATGAATGAGCAAGTCTTCTGAGAGTTCAAGCTTTAGTGTCTTGAGTTTAAAAACAATATTAGACATGCTCATAATGTACCCCCTGATATTTCCTTTGCCTTGATATTTCATGGAGATCAAGTTCTGAAGAAGAGTGTTTGCCTCCGTCTTATCGCTTTTTGCAAAGCGCTGTTCAATTTCAGCAAGGAATTCTTTGGCACTTGTGATGTTTTCAGAAACAGTGCCCCTAAACACCTCCGGGATGTCACGCTTAATGATCATTAGACTCATGCGATTTGAGCGATCCCACTTCTCATAATCTCTTTTCTGTTCAGAGGTATAATCTCTTTTCTGTTCAGAGGTACTTGAATCCGTAGGAGTAAGGGGTTGCTCAGTCCTTAACGCAAGATCCATATCCATGCAACCAAGAATAATATCAATGTTCTCTTTCCAGTCCTTAAAATTTGTTCCATTGAGGACCGAAATAGAATTTAAATTGGCAGATACATAAGCAATTGTAGC